AAAGAATATTGAGACAAAACAAAAGAATAGGATTAACAAAATATACTAATAGGACAAAATTCTTTTTTAAAAAGGGGGCGATAAAACCTTTATCTAAAAGGGGGGAGCCTTTTTATGAGCAGGGTTCTTTTAGAGGAAGGGATTTCTTATTTAATATAATGAAAAATTATATTAATTGTAATACATATAATAATGTAGTTTTATCTAAAGACTTAAACTCTCTTTATACAAGGAGAGTAAAAACAGAATTATATAAGTATAATAATACAGAATTTATTAAAGACACTTTAAACTTGTTATTTCCTGAATTAGACTTTACTAAAGATGAGTTAAGGACTTTTTTAGTAAATAGTAACTTAGATTCATCTAATCTAGAAAAAAAGATACATAGAATTAAATATAAAACACACAACAAATCATTAGAACATTTAAGATGGTTTAAATTAACAAAGCCTGATAGTTGTTTTACGTCAGAATTAATTAAGTTATTAGCTGAAGGAAAGTTAAACATTATGCTATTTAATAATATTTATCAAGAGATAGAGAATGAAAATATTATTTTATTAATAGATTATTTAAAAAAATGTTTAAAAACTAGGCAGGTGTTAATGGACTATACTCCCAGTATAGTAGAGATAAAAAAAGCCATTGAGATATATAAGCTCTGTCTACTTCTTAAAGAAATAGATGAGGAAATAGTCTCAACATGTTTTAAATATTGATTTATTAAGTACCCAGATATAGTTTGTAAATTAATTATATTTCATATTATATGAATAATATAATATATAATTATAATCATAAATCTTATAGTCACTCCCCTAAAAAAATAAACTTAGGAGCAGGTTATAAACACTTAGATTACCAAGATAATTTTGTAACAGAAAAAATAAGAAAAGGTTTTATAAAAAATGGTAAAAGTCAAAAAATGCATAATGCTTTAAATCAAGTATATATATTATCAAGAGAGAATGATGGTGTTAGCCCATATGAATACTATATGTACCTAACATCTGAATCATTACCAATAAGTAAATACATAAACATTAGAATGGGAAGACAATCTAAAAAACATTTTTTAATGTTGGGCTCAAGAAAACTTTCAGTCTATAAAAACTTAATATTACAACACATTAAAAACTTAAACGGAGTAGATGGACTCCCTAAAAAACTACTTGTATCATTAAATCATTTTAGGAATGTACAAACTAAACATTTAACAATATATTCTAGAAAAAATCGCATGGAATTCTATACTACAAAATCTAGAAAAAGAACAGTAGCTCTAAAAAATAGAATATTACAAATGAAAAGACTAAGAGTAAGACTAGTAAACTTCTTTATCAAAAACCATAAAGAAGAGAACATAAGCCCTAAACTAGCTAAAACTACACCAAACACAAAAGAATTAAACATAAAAAAATTAAATAGAATTGCCAACATCAAAAAAAACATTAAGGTTAAAATTATACCAGAAGGAATACACCCTACTAAAATGTTAGAAAAAGCAACTAACACTAAAAAATGCTTTACAAAAAATGATGACGTGAAAAAAAAAAAAAATGCTATCTAATTTGTATAATATGCTTCTTTCTACTGTTAACCTAATCCTTTTTGATATGGGATACTGGGGTGAAATATCAAGTGTAATAATCACAGAAAAACTCCCTGAAACAATCCCTACAAAGATTTCTAAGCCTTATTTAATAAGACCATTAATCGACTCATTCATAATGAGTAAAGGATCTTTATTCCAACTATTATTTAACTCTCAAGCAGAAGACTTAAAAAAAGCCTATATCTTAAATAAAACATTAGTATCTGAGGGATCTCCTACTAGATTCGATACTTATAAAGGAATACACTATATTTATATGAACTCTCATATGAATTCATATAAAACAGCAGGACTATTAAAAGCCAGTGAAATTATAGAATGGCTAGATAAATTAGACAATAAACTAGACACAACTTATTCTGAAGAATTCAAAGAATACGCCGAAACTTATTCAGAAGACAAAGCAGTAGAATTCTTTCACAACTCACAATCATTACATTGCACAGCCCTATCAAACTCCCACTCTTACACTCAATTCTACAACAGCACTGCCCGAGCATTAAACTTAATGTCAGAGAGTGAATATAAAGAATTTGCAAAAACAGTTAAAGAAAACTACGCAAAAGCCCACCCAAAAACTCCAAACAAAGAACTAACAAAATTAGCAATAGAAGCAACACAAAACAACATCCACCAAAATTGGATAAGCTATTTAAAAACTATAGGAATCACTCAAGAAACAACACAAAACAACACACCAAATGAACTCAGAGAAACATTAACTCCATTACAAGCAAACCACACAACAAACCCAAACATTAACAACCACAACAGGCAAACAAACCCAACAATAGGAAGCATACTACAACACAACATAACAAACAAAACAACACACCAATACAACTACACTACATGGACAAACAACATTATCAACCAAAACAATAACAAATATTAAATATAAACAAAGACGATACCATAAAAAAAATCCCTGATAGATTTTTTATTTATTAAATAAAAAACATTTAATAATTTTTTTTTTTTCAGGTCTAGGAAAGAGCAGGTTTACCTGTGAATGGGTTCGAATCCCCTTGCCTGTAAACTAATTCTTTGTTGTGTAGTTACTTTAGTTAGTATTATGGTTTTAATTAAAAAGATATTATACGAATTGAATAGTACAGGACATCTATATGTGGCTATATACAGTATTTTGTTCTGTCTTAATTTTATAGCAGTTTATTTTTCTTGTTAAAGTAATGGTGTTATGGGTGGGGTTGAGAGCTATAGTTTTTGTAGTATTTATATCATTTTTAGTGCTAATATTATATGAGTCATAATACCCTTATGATTTTCCAGTGTGTATCTCGTTAGATTCATAAATCTATGGTTATAGACTTATGAATTACAAGGGTTAATTCTAGCTCTGTATCATTGTTTTATTTTAGTTAAGCTATTTCTTAGAAAATGTATTTATTGGATATTATTTTAGGAAATAATCGTGAACTAAGCTCTGTTAAGACTCTGGCTAAATTATAATTGAGTTGATAGGTGTGTATACACTACTTGCAGTTATTTATATAGTAGTATTTTCCTAGTAGATATTGTTTGGGTTATATTTATATTGTTTTAGATATAGCACAGGTCTACTAGGAAGATATAGCATTACAATAGCTAATGGGTATAATCTTAGTTTTACACTATTAATATAAAAACATTTATAATTTTATTTTTAGTGCGTAGGTTTAGACTAGTTTATATTATTGTAATTTTGATTAATTTATCTGTATTATAATGTCTTTAGGTTTATTATGTAATTCTAATGTTAATTTTAAATTAGTGATTAAGTTCTTAATCAAAATAGTGTTTGGTAGTAGGTGTGAGGCTAACTGTGTTAGTTCTTACTATCTAATAGTTAGAACCTACTAGAGTTAGAGCTCTTTACTTATGAATGAATTATATGTGAAGACTTTCTTATATAAAATCATGGCTTGCAGTCACCAATATGTTAGTGAACTCAATTTATTAAGTGTATTTCCTCTAACACAATGCTCCTATAGTATAGGCTTATAGTGAAGAAGGGTTGATGTATTTGTCCAAGGCTGTACTGGCTAAAACTAGTGGGTTATAATCTAGAATATAACTCTCTAGATAGAAATAATAGCTGTGTATTTAGAGAAGCTTGATAGGACATTTTAAAAGTAGGGGGTTTATAATTCTATTTAAATATGCTAATTCAGCCTACATTATTGGTATAATATATATATCTTTAAAATATAAGGTACAAACAATATTTAAACAATATTGTTTTTATTTAATAAACCTAAAATTATTAAAACATATTAGAACCAGCACCTATTATTAGTTATTACCAATATGTTTTAATAGGAACCTGTTTAAAATTAGTTTATATTAAAAAAACTAGGCCCCTAGTTTTTTTTTCAGTCCAAAATAATTTCTGTTTATTAATTATCCCGCAAAATAAGACTTAGAATATATGCTATTAATATTATAGTATAATATTTTAGCTATAGGATGTATTGGGGTGCTTATTCATATTTTAAGGCTTTATATTTTAGAGTTAGATATTATATGTTTTAATAATTTGGGTTATTTAGCAGTCCCCAATACATTTATTAATTTAATAGAATTATTTATAATGTATTGTATATTATATACTTTTTTTAGTTATATCTATTTTATTTAGAATTTAATAAAGGGAAGGTACTGACAGACCATCGTTTAGAAACTTATACCTTATCTAATCATAGTTAGGATGTACCCTGAATAAGTGTATTTAAATATAAATATAATATTATATTTATATTTAGTATAAGTATTATGTACTAGATCAATAAGTTTTTTATCTACCTAATGAATATAAATATTTATGTAGTTTTGATAGTTAGTCTATAGCATACTAAATCTAACCTAAGAACTTATTATTTTTATTATATGGGGTTGACACTTACATGTCTGGTTCTATATTGTTTTATTAATGTATTAGTATTATAAAATACACATTTATAAAATAAAAATTATTTTTATTTTATTTTATAATATTATTTATTCCTCTTCAGGTTAGATTAGGTATAATATATTTATTATATATTTATATAAGATTTAACACATGAATATATTCTAGATAAACACTACATTATTTATGTATTGTTAGAGTTAGCCCTATATAATATTGTTGTATAGGGCTATATAGATCTATGGGTATTTTAATAGTTTATATTAAAAATCCCATAATATACACGACTGTTGTGTCTACTATATAATTAAATTAATTTATGTTTTTATCACAAAAACTAAATTTAAAATACAACAAGGATTTAGCCATAAAATTCAGGTAGAGTATGTACTATCTTGTTATATAAATAGTACAGATAAATTACTTTACATACTGTAAATCCCCAATGTGTTTATAATATTTATTTCTTATGGAGTTTAATGGGATTCGAACCCATATCAGGTGTATATACTTGCTCTAGCCGTTGAGCTATAAACTCTTTATTTGTTTTGTTTGATGATTTTACCTAGTTTTCCGAACGAGCTTGTTAGTAGTTCGAATATTATTCCTCCTATGATAGTGCACATACAGTATATGAAGATATTCCATGTGGTAGTGTCTATGGAGTCAACAGTGTATAGGAATGGTACTAGGAATAGTATTTCTAGGTCTATTAGTAGGAATAATAGACATATTATTATGAAGTTTGCATTGTATTGGTTTGATTCGTGAGAGTTTGGACTGTATCCACACTCATAAGCACTTATTTTGTTTAGGTCTGTTCTGTGGTTATTTGTTACACAGTATCCAGCAGTATATATTACTAGAGAAAGAGTCATAGCTAGAATAGCAGAGTATAAGAATACACTGTGTTCTATGCTAGGTGTATTAACTAAAGAAAAAGAAGTATAGTTTAGTCTTGATACTATCATTTTTTTTTTTTAGTTTTCTAGGCTTACTTTTATGTTTGTGATTCCGTATCTGCTTAATGCAGTTAGGTTTTCGTAATCTACGGCGTATTTGATGTTGTTTTTGTTTGTGTCTTTTAGTTTGTATTGTATTTTGTTTGATCTTCCTAATTTTTTTATTAATCCAGAGGCTTCTATTTTTAAAGCTTTTGGTGCATCTTTGCTTTTATTTGGGTGGAATCTGAATGTGAATAGTGCTCTTGATAATAATTTTAATAGTAGGAATCTGTTTGACATGAATATTAGTCTTAGCATCTGTATAAAGATGTGTGCATTCCAATATGGTAATGAATAATTAGTAAATTGTGAGTATATTCTTGTAATAAATCCTGTGTCATGCTCTATGTTAGAGTATGATGATATTACTTTTAAGTAGCTTTTGTTGTTCCATTTATTATATTTTTGTTTTTTTGTTTTTGTATTTGTTTTTATTAATTTATTTAAATTATTGTTAGCTACTAATTTTAATTTCATTTGAATATCTATAAATTTATATAAGGATATACTATTAAATATATTATTTATTTTATCAGTATTTTTAAATACTGATATATTATTTATATTTGCAGTGGCATTAGAATTATATATTGAATGATCACTGCTTTCAGAAAAATATTTTTGCTTGAAATTTAAAAATTTTGGTTCTATAGACCTTGCATCACTCAATAATAAATCTGAGTTAGATCTTAATTCTATCTTTTTATCACTTAGGAAGTTAAATCCTAACATAACTGTTCTTAAAACACCATGGTCTAGTGGTTTAAACTCATTGTGTTTTCTATAAAGTCCATCTGGCTTATTTATTATTTTAAATTCATTTAATCTAAATGAATTAAATAAAGGATACAACTCACTTATAAAATTTTTAGAAAAAATATCTAGTTTATTAAAGTATCTTTCTGATATTCTTTCAATATAATTAGTATTTAACATTTTTATATCAATTTCAGGAATTGTACCATTAATAGACTTTAATTTAGTATACTTAGACTCAATTAAATTTCTTAATTTAAAATATTTTAAATTTACATGATTTAGCTTCATTATGTGAAACCATTGTTTTAAATAAAATTTATTAGGAATTTTAATAAATTTTAATTTATGATATAAATTAAAATAAATTGACTCATTAAAACTATATTTAATAGTATTAATACTATTAAAATACTTTAATTCTTTCATAATGAAAGTGATGTTATTAGAAGTTATTACTTTATAAGCAGAATCTTTATTATGAGATTCATATAATACTGTTTGTTCTGTTCTTTTATTATCTTTATTCAGACCAGATAGAACTTTATCCTTAGTTTCTATTAATTCACCTGAGTAAGTACAGTCAATTAACATATTATTTACTTTTTTGTAAAGCAATAGACTCTATAGCTTGCCTAATTGCTACAGTATTATCTGAATCAAGTTTATTTAATTTATTAAAATAACTTAAATCAACTGTATTTTTAAAAAAATCAACTCTGTTTAAGTCTAGAGCACCCTTATAACTAAAACAATACCTTATATTATTTCTATATGCTTTAAATACCCTTCTTCTAATTTTTTTTTTTTTTACTATTAAATACCTTTTACAGAAATTTGCAAGTAAGTAATATGACTTAATATCCTTATTATCTTTTTTAGATACAGGCACTAGTCTAAAGTGACCATATAACAGGTTATGTGAATAACTTGCACATAACCTACCCCCCCTTTGCCTCTTTCTACTTTTTCTATTTTCTAAGTAATTATCTATAGATATAGATTTATTTAGCATAGAGCCATAATCCTTACTATAATAATTTTTTAACCAAAATAAAGAGCGCCCCAATCTAGAAGGCAAACTACTTTTTATTTCCGTATTTATTAATAATAATAACACCTATAGTAGCTGTCAATAAAGTTAATATACACCCCAATGTAATCAACCCATCAAAAAAAAACATATAATCACTAACTTGAGATAAAATAGGCTTAGATAAACCAACATTAATAGATTCGTAACCATTTAAAAGATCCAGCTCTAACACACCATTAGATTCAAACATCGGAGACAAACCCCCAAAAAATTTAAAACATACATATAACAAAAATGGAGACAATAAAAACAACACATTAGAAAATGAAATAACATTTTCTACCGAACCAAAACCTGAAAAAAACCTAATCATGTGAATAATTAAAACCAAAATAAAACCCACATAAATTATACAAAATATAACACCAATAAAATCTAAATCTAATTTCAATAATATCAATAAAGCAATAAAATAAATACAAAGAATAGAATTTATCAATGTCAACTCTTCAAACAAAAAATTATAATAAAAACGAAGAGCACACAATAAAACTACAAATAAAATAAAAAATACTAAAAACTCTAAAGAAAATAGCACCATATACATTTATAATCATCAGCTTTAGTCTAATATTAAATATTATACATGTATATATATAATATAAAATCTTACATTACACCACAAAAACATACCGAAATAAAAACCCACATAAATTATACAAAATATAACGCTAATAAATTCTAAATCTAAAAGGATTATAATACTTTACAATCAGCAGGAAATAATAGCTATTTAATATGATATTAACTACTAATAAATTATTAATTAATATACAAGATAATATTAAACATATAGATATATTCTAGTAAAATAATCTCTTTATTTTACTATACTTTGAATAAGCCCCTACTTGAATATTAAATAGGGGCTATATAAAACTATTATAACACCAATAGTTAATAGTTTAAAGAGCTTAACATACAGAAGTGCTCTGTACAGTATCAAATAACCTAAATAATAGGTTATTTTACATAAACCATATTTTTTATACAACAAGGATAAAACCATAAACTACAGGCAGAAAATACACAACATTCTTATATAAAAAACATATAAATAGCTCAACACCCTAGAAACACCTGAGCTATAAACTATACTATAGAATACTTAATTCTTATGGAGTTTAACAGGACTCGAACCCATGACCTATTGCTTGCAAAGCAATTGCTCTACCAACTGAGCTATAAACTCTTTATATTATTTTATGTTGTTTTTAATTTTGTATGTGAATCAGTAATTATTAATGTTTATTATCATGAACATATTACAGTTTAGATCAATATTATATAGTGTAATTATTCTTTTATTTTTTATTTAAACTTATACTAATAAATTCTACATCGTGAAATCATAGCAGTTAAATTAATTTAGATTATAATACAATATATAATTTAACTATTATTATATATGTAATTTATCCTTTTACTAATCTACATCACTATCAGTATCATTTTCATTCAATAAACCCGGGTTTTTACTTTTAACAATATCGATTACCCTATCCCCATTTTGTTCAATAAATTTTTCAGAGCCTTTAATAGGACTAAACTGGTTATTATTAAAACAGACCTTTTGATGAGGTACAACCCCATATTGTGCTTTATTCTCACCAACCATATTTAAATCGTTATCTATCAACTCTGCTGGATTTGTGGGTGTACTTACACTAGTTCCTTGTAATAGAACACAATGAGTCTCAACCTCTTCATCAAACTTTGTAAGTACTGGGTGCAAAATGTCCAGTCCTCCTTTTCTAAAGTTACCACGTAAGCTAGCCTTACTAGCGTCATTGACAAACCCTAATCTTAATTTCCCACTAGCTATAGTAGAATAAAATCTAATATTTTTAACAAAACTAAACATTATATTACCATCACTATAAAAAACCAAACAGACACTCTGAGCACAGCCATAGCTTTCGTTGTATAACCTAAATAAGCATCATACATTCCCTTATAAGCAGAAAAATAAGCATAGAAAAGCCAGCGCTGGCCTAAGTTTCCACCATCAGCTGCTTCAAACCCTTCGTTTTTACCCTCTTCAGAGATCTTTACAGTGATAGCTACAACAGCTAAAAACCTACTATCAAACAAAGGGACAGAGTCTATAACCTCCACATCAATCAATGTTTTTAAATACTCAAAAGCCACTGTACAAGTCTTTTCATAAGAAAAAATAACTAAACAAAACAGCCAATTAACCAGGGCAGCTGCTACAAACACAATTAAATACCAAGAGGAAATAACCCCAACCAGAAATAAAACAAAACAACCTACTTGAAACAAAGGAAACAATACTTTAACTAAAAATTTCACAAAATTAAAAACCAACAATTTACTTCGAGCAGGACCAATATAAGCTAGCAACAAAGAACACTTATCCAATAAATACTCTTCCAAAAACAGACCCAATAAATAATAAAATCCTTTACTAGCCGAAGGCAAAGACAAATTACTATACAAATCATTAAAGAAGTACTTACTAACTAGATACCCTAATCCAATAAAAATAACAATAATAACATAATAATAATACTTCAAAAAATAATCAGTAGAAGCTTCAGATATATAAACTGGTTGTATTTTAGATATATAAATTATTCCAATTATATACATCAAAAATTTAACTATAAATAAAATAATAGATAAAATCGGGGCTATCATGTTTTCATATAAGGCTTTTAACTCCATTAAATCTAACCTATTATACATAAATATAAATCTAATAGTAAAATAACTAAATCTAAATTTTGATCCACAACTGAATTAATCACTAACAACCCACACTAGTGTCTCACTAGCTGGAACATACACAAATAAAATATTTTTCATAAAAAAAAATTTTATAATTAAAACAAACTATAATATAAATACTTAAAAAACAAATCTCATTTAAAAAAATGAAATATAAATTATATTGTGTGGCCTAAAAGCAATATTAAGAGATAGGTAATATCTGAGCATGTGTGTGTGCGAAAGATACATCCATAAACTATCATAGTGGTATGCTACGATCAAAAGATCGGGAGCATTGGGCTTAGTAGGAATCGAACCCACGTAGTATCCATCATGAGTGGAACGTTTTACCACTAAACTATAAGCCCAATACCCACTATTGGACTCGAACCAATACTTCATAAACTGAAAACAGATTTTAAGTCTGTCGTGTCTGCCAGTTCCACCAAGCGGGCTATTTTTTGAATAACAACATAACTAATAATTTCCTAACAGGGCAAGATACGACAATCTCTTCAGGATTAGGAAATTCCTACGTTATAGCCTAAATAAATGCTATTATATTAGAAGCTTAAATCTGTTCGACACTAGATCGTAAAGGAATAGTAAAATAAATTAGACTGAATGGGGGTTATTTAACTTTATAAATAAGAGTTTATAGCTCAGTGGTAGAGCAGCGGACTTTTAATCCGTTGGTCGCAGGTTCGAGTCCTGTTAAACTCATTGAGGGTGTGGCTGAGCGGTTTAAAGCAATAGACTGTAAATCTATCCACGAATGTGAGCATGGGTTCGAATCCCATCGCCCTCAAATAGATAATATATTAATAATCTTCCAGATAATATAGCCATTATATATTATATTTTATGCCACAAGTAGATTTATTAACTTTTTTTAATCTTTCTTTTATGTTTTGTGTATTTTTTACAATTAGTTATAACATGATATATTCATATTGTGTTAATATGGAAAAAGTATCATTAGTTAGAGAAGTTTTATCTAATTCTAATAAAAATTAACTAAATTTAAGAACTAATATTAACAAAATATAAGGAGGAAACTCCATTGAGGAATAGCCAAGTGGTAAGGCAATGGATTTTGATTTCATGACGCATGGGTTCGAATCCCATTTTCTCAAACTAAAATTATGCGGGCTTAGCTCAGTTGGTAGAGCACCAGATTGTGATTCTGTTGGTCATGGGTTCGAATCCTATAGTCCGCCATAAACAACCAATATACTATAAACAAATCATAAATGAATCAATTTGTTTCTAAATGGTTGTTCTCTACAAATCATAAGGATATCCATAAAAGATTGAGTGGCTTGTCTCATTTGAATTATTTTGAGATTTTGTTTAGTGTGTTATATTTATTATTGCAGTTTATTCTGTTTGTGTTCTCCATAGTAGCTATTTCATTTGTTATGGATGGGTTTAGGGGATTTGACTACCAGTCTTTGGCTCTTAGGCAGATATTATTACTCTTTTTTTTTGTAGGAGGGTTTATTGCTTATTTTATGGTTAGGAAGTTGGATGTAGACTTATTTGATAGGTTATTAAGTATAAAGCTTCCTCGTTCAGAGGTGGGTCTAGCTCATATTGCTTATGTGTTCCCAAAAATGAGAGGGGTTTATGATAGGTTGATAGTTTTGTTGGATAATAGTACTAGACTTAGAGTTT